AGCAGGAGTCCCCAGTTACCAAGACAGTGGAACACTTTGCCCTAGGTGAGGAGGAGCTGGCCTTGGGCCAATGGCTTTATCTCCTCCTGGCTCAACCTTTTATCACTGTTGCTGCTGTTCTTTGTCCCCAACAAGAGAAAGGAAGACCCTGAAACTCTCGATCCAATATGTCTTGGCACCAGATCAGCTCGCTTTTCACAGGATATCAAGCTTTCAGTGACCATCCTCCAAACCTAGCCACCAGTATCATTCCAGGGTTCACAGGACTTGCCAGCCATGACATCATCCTGCTCAATCACAAATGCCAATGAAGTCCTTCATCCCCTTCAGGCTCTTCTGCTCCTCTGTTTCACCAGAGTCCCTTTGAGCTTCAGTATTAACTAGAGTTTGGGGAGCAAGTTGGAAAATCATGGGGTAAAATGGTAACAGCATAGGTCTTGGATGAATAGGAAAACAAGCCGGGAATAGGAAAGACCGTATTTACTCCGGAAGGGATGAGAATCATCGGCATACAGTCTAACCCATCAATAATTAAGGTGAAACTCTCAGCAATGTCCCTATTTAAGTATGTAAGCATCAGCATTTTTCTCTGTAACTCTCACCATATTGCTGTTTCACTACTGACATGCAGTGATTTAGATGTCAAAAGTAGTAAGTTGGTAATGTGAAATTTAACTTTGGCTGCCAGTCAGTGTTAGGATAGAGCTGTAAAGAGTAGGGGATCTGAAGAAAATTATTGGTATGAACAAAAGCAATGACTGAAGATATAATAAATATCTGTAAATAAAGAAAAACAAGGGATGAAAATTCAGCTTTCAAGGAAATAGTATCTAATGTCTAATAACAGCAGCAAAGCTAGAATCATGTTGCTAGACAAAAGTATATAGAGGGATGGTTCATCTCTTAATCAGCTGGAACAATGATCTGATTATTTTTCTAATTATAACAATTCCATTTGATATGAAGAAGTATATTTCAAGTCTTTGAAATGCATCTATAGTCTTTCATGGCAGCAGCTACTTAAGTTTTTGTTCTTTCAGGGGAGGAGGAACCCATGAAAAACTAGAGTTCTAACTCTAAGACAAGATCTGCCTGCCCCCTGATATTTCATAGTTACATGAAAAAACTCATGGCAACCAAAAGTTACCTTTGGTTTCTTTTTGCTTTATCAGTCTGAGAGGGGATTATGGATTCAGCCCTTCAGCAAGGTAGAAATGTTAGTACTCCTTCTCCTTGCAGCTGTTAATATTCTGGGCTAGTGCATAGCTTGAAGAAAATCCAGCACCTTAAAATAAATTACTGAACAGCTAGAATAATAATTTTTGCCATTCTCTAACTCAGAACTGTAGATTTCTTTTTCACTTAAAAGTTTTAAAATAATGCCTCATGACAAGACATTTGTGCAATGAAGATTTTGTATTACTTTTTACTTCATTTTTATGGCCATGTTATAACCTTGTGTAAACAGGTTCATAACAAAATTCTACTCTCTTCCTTTCTAGACAGAACCTCCTCTGTGTATTTTAAGGTTAACTTGGTGAAAAGCAGGAAGTTTCTTGTTATTACACATCTTTATTTCTGCAGTCTGTTGTCAAAAATGCCTTCATTTTGAACCAAGTTGCAGTGTGTTCATGAATTGCAAACCATTGCAAGAAACGTGTGATCATTTCAGCTGAAGTGGCAGTTTTCACACTGTTGGAGTTGTTACAGCATCTAATTTTAGAGCTACAATGAAACCGTCTGGATTACCCGGAGGGGACTCTATTTCAGTGCATTAATGAGGCTATACACAAAGAGAGTTTATTACTATAAGACATAGACGTTCATTAGATCAGTAATGTGATTACAGAATGTGCTGTAAAGGAAGCACCATTAGGAACTATAGGGAAGATGATTTTGCAAACATTAAACAAAATGTAAAAGCGTGATTATTAAATCTGCTAACTTTGCTACACTATTCTGATTCGTAAATATGCACAGTTTTAAATGAAAAAGTAAACTGTTATATTTTGGCTTAGGGACAAATTGTTGTCCTCCTACCTAAGGGAAAAATATTTAAAAAAAAACAGTGTATTTTCATTTCATTTTAATCTAGCCAAATTGCTGAGAAACTAAATCCCCATTCTGAAATTCTGTGTTTGTGACAATATATTCTTATTTCCTCTGGTGTGTTTTTGTTGGTTTTTTTTTTGTGTGGTTTTTTGTTTGTTTTAGGGTAGCTCTGTAGAAAAGAATTCTTCAAATATAATTCACAGACAGCATTTCAAATACAATAACAGCAATATGTTATACAATACAGGAAATAAACATATGTCTTTCCACTCTGACCACAGAACTGTCTGTATTCCTAAAGGAGATGTGAAATTCTACGGTCTACAGGATTATCATTCTTCTGCAGTCAGATATTCATTGGCAAATATCTTCACATGCTCTGAAAATTGAGTCAGGGCACAGCCTTACAGCTAGTGCAATGTAGAGACGGAAAGGACCTAGAAGAGATCATCTCATTCATCCATGTGCACTGAGACTTCATATTTGTCCTCTTCACGTTTGCACGATCGGTCTTTCAACAGTAATACACAGAGCACAGTAATCAACTGCAAATTTTACTAGCAATACTATAATGAAGAAGCCTAGCACCAGAAGACAAGAAAAGTTCTCTCCCAGCTGTCCTGTAGCCTGCAGAAGACTGGAGGATCTATACCTAGGATCTAAATCTAGGATCTACAGAGAAAGAAATTTCCTCTTTATAGGTACTGGCAATGTTTCTGAAAATTTCTGAAAAGCTCCTGAAAATCCACAACGAAGTGCTTTCAAAACTAAGTAAATGTTCTTTTTTTTTTCTTTTCCCTGTATAACAGTACATTAAAAAGTAGAAGGTATTTTATATTTTATGTATATATTTGGTATAATAACCAAATTACATTTATCATAGAATCATAGAATCATTTAGGTTGGAAAAGACCTTCAAGGTCATCAAGTCCAACTGTAAACCTAATGCTACCAAGTCCACCACTAAACCATGTCCTTAAGCACGGCATCCACAGGTCTTTTAAATACGTCTAGGTATGGTGGACTCAACCACTTCCACAGGCAGCCTATTCCAATGCTTGACCACCCTCTCGGTGAAGAAATTTTTCCTAGTATCCAATCTCAACCTCCCCTGGAGCAACTTGAGACCATTTCATCTCATCCTATCACTTGTTACTTGGGAGAAGACACCAACATCCACCTCCCTACAACCTCTTTTCAGGTAGTTGTAGAGAGCGATGAGGTCTCCCCTCAGCCTCCTCTTCTCCAGGCTAAACAACCCCAGTTCCCTCAGCCACTCCTTACAGGACTTCTGCTCTAGACCCTTCACCAGCTTTGTTGCCCTTCTTTGGACACGCTCCAGCACCTCAATGTCCTTCTTGAAGTGAGGGGCCCAAAGCTGAACACATTGTTTGACATGCAGTCTCACCAGTGCCAAGTACAGGGGGACCATCACTACCCTACTCCTGCTGGCCACACTATTTCTGATAAAACTCAGGATGCCAGTGGCCACCTGGACACACTGCCGGCTCATGTTCAGCCGGCTGTCAACCAACAACCCCAGGTTCTTTTCCGCCAGGCAGCTCTCCAGCCACTCCTCCCCAAGCCTGTAGCGTTGCATGGGGTTGTTGTGGCCGAAGTGCAGGACCCTGCACTTGGCCTTATTGAACCTCATACAGTTGGCCTCAGCCCATCGATCCAGCCTGTTCAGACGCCGCTGTAGAGCCTACCCTCAAGCAGATCAACACTCTCGCCCAACTTGGTGTTGTCTGCAAACTTACTGAGGGTGCACTCAATCCCCTCGTGCAGATCATTGATAAAGATATTATTGATAAAGATATTTACGTGCAAGTGGAGAAACATTACACAAAAAACTAAATGTAATTAACTTTTAAACACAAAGCTGCCAAGCAGAAGACTAAACGTTCAATTTATTTTCCTCTTATTGATCAATTAAGGGCACACTGATCATGGGATTAAATATTGAATTCTCCATATTTGCAGTGTTTTCTGCATGACAGAATTTGCAATTATTTCGTCTTTTGCACTCTTAAAAACTCTGAAGTTTCATTTGCATGCAATCTAGGTTTCCTACACTTACTTTGCTATGCCCTAGGTGATAGACTAAATCACAATTACAGAAGGGAAAAATTGATTCTAAGTTTTTGACATTTTCAAGTTTAACCCACATTGATTTTTGAGGGATTATTAAGAGAGATAAACATGTAGAACTAGAAGAAAATAAATAAATAAATAGACAAGTCAATGGGGCATGGAACAATCATCTACTTGAGGGATATATGTATCAATGAGGGAAAGTAATTATTCAAAGTAACATAAGAAACCATAAACATGGTAAGATGGGTAGAAATAAGCAAATCAGAGAAAATAATTTTAACCCAATATCTGAAAGTGATAGTTCACAATTTAAGACCTCCATTACCTCCAGAAAATAAAATTCACAAAGAACTGAGTGCCTCAAAACAATAATTAAGGGCTATGTAGCCACACAGCTCAGTGAATACAGAGAACTACTGTTGGCAGCTCCACAGAACTTAAGCTTAGGTAGGCCTGACTCTTTTTGAGGGGTAGGGAGCATATACACCTTGAGAGACCCACTAGACTTCACAAAGGATCTAGTCCTATTTAAAGATGTTAGAGCATAAAACATTTTTTAAAAGTTCTTAATGTTAGAATTATTATTCCATTGTTCAAACTCTTCCAATCTTAACAGGAAATACTTAATACATCAATGGGTAAAGGATACAAAATTTAACAAACCTAGCTGAAATAACTTTCATAAATCCAATCAAGTACATGTATGTAATGAACACCACATATACATTTACAACAGAAAATCCCTCACTTTTACAAAATATTTAACAAAATTCAAAACCAAAACCAAACATACAAAAAAAGCAGTGGCAATGGTCTTTACTCTTTACCCATAGATTAAAATCAGTGGATTTTAAATCAGCATTTTAAACACACCAGAATCCGTAGAAATACAGGACAATGCAGAACCTAGTGGTAATTTGCAGCTACGCTTCTGAAATAAAAGGGCAAGTCAGAATCTAATCAGTGCATGCTAACTGTACAATTATCCTATCCTTTAATTAAAAACTTATAAAAGACTTCCAGGTGGTATAGCTGAGTAAAGACTGGCCTCTAATTTTCTGTTCTTTAGAGAGTTAATGGAATTTAAATTTATGTGTAGTTTCACTTTAAAGGAACATTTGCGTCTCTTCATGTCTTACTGTTCATCATATACAGTAATTTAGAAAGTTAAGAGAAAATAAATTAAAAGAATTGATAAAGATGAAATATAGTTGAAATTCAGTTACTTTGTTTTAGGTCATTCAGTGAACATTTCCAAAAAGCCTTTGTCAATGGCTGGTTAAAATAAATCCATCAAAGGAGGACTTAGCAACAAGTATGCCAAAAATTAGTAAAAAAGGAATCACACTCTTCCCCAAAATAGAAGATGACAGACAGTGCTAAAAATATTAAAAGGGCCACAGGTATTCATATCACAGTACATCTGAAAATCTACATTTAAATGAAAAAAAAAAAAAATTGGGGTTGGAAGAGAACACTGAACCTCAAATGCCTCCAAGTGAAATAACCTGGAAAGGACAGTGCGATATGCCACAGGGAAATTCTCACATACCATTTTAATGGCTTTATGTTAAATAAAAGGCTGAGGCAGCCTCTAAAAACCCTGTCTGGCTCCAGAAGCATTCCTCTACTACAACCTGTTACACAGAGACAACACAAATCTCTGGCACAGTATGATGGTGGCTGAGCTGATGGGATGCGTCAGGACCACAATAAAACTCTGTGGAGATTTTAGAGCAGCACTGTGACATCTAGTAAACGCTAGAAAAGACTGACTTTAAACAGACAGAGTTCAAAGATGTTTACAGATCACCAGGGACCATTCCCACTCATAAATCCCTCAGGATCATGTTAAAATAAAACTAAACCCTTGAGAAAAACTCAGAAGGCTCAAAACCAAGAAAATAATATTAAAAGTCATCACTCACTAGAAACTAATTTCGAGTTTACTGACTTTTCTAATGGTAGCAGTACTTGTTACAAATTTTGCATACCATCTTTTCCCTATGCAGTGATCGCTAGTCCATTCTAAAGGGCTAAAAGTTGGCCATATGTACGTATCCAACCTAAGAATCTGCAGCCTGCTCGTTGTCTCACTTCTATGCATGGGACAGACTTACTCTGACGTCACTGGTAACCTGCAAGTCATTGCGATCTATAATTTCTTAAAAATTGTCAGATTCCTTCCTTTGTACTAGGTGGGAGCTTATAAACAATGAAAAACTAGCAAACAGAGTTCTAAGATGTTGAATTCAGTTGAATAATTCCAACTACAGCAACATTTCAAAAAGCTTAGAAACAAGCAAATTCTCACCAGTTGAATAAGCAGGCTAATTAGGTCCGTCAGGGGTTTATTGATAAGCAGAAGGTCTTCAGCAGCTTGCGTGTCCCCTCCTGTGCCAGATTTCTGTGCCTTAATAAGATGAGGAAAAACAAAAAGCAAACTTGGTGACTGGTCTGTTGTGAGAACCAAATTAGGTCTATTAGGTGGTCGAAGTGTGAAGGAGACTTGTACACTGTTTTCTAGTTAAGTATTCCTGGGCTCTGAAAGGGGAGTTATGCTCCCTGTCTCTGTAACAATAAGCACAAAGCAAAAGAGACTCATCCTGTCATGCCCATTCTGCCCAGGCTAAATATACTGACCTATATGATATTTCTTCAGCAAAATGCTATAAGCTGTATACGCAAAAGCCAGAAATGTTTTATGTATTAGTATTCGCTTTGAACATGACATGACTATTTTATCATTACAGTTCAACTATTTTTTTTCCTTTATCAGGAACAAATTTAAGTGCAACTCAAAACAAGAAAAATCAAGGTGACTGAAAAGTTTAGATTCTCAGCAATAATGTCCAATTTTGTCCTTCTGACTCACTTTGTATCTTGAAATATACATAATAAATTATAATAATTTAAATTATTTTTTAAATAGGAACAATAAAATCCTTAAGGGACCAACTCTGTGATATGATCTGTTATTACTTGCAATTCTGACCATTGTCATCCCCTCTCACCAAAACACACTGCCGTCCTAGGCCGTGCTACTTATGACCCATCCCTGCCCCAGGACACCAGAAAGGTCTGCTTGCAAGGTTTTTCATTTAACTTCATTATCTTGCAGCAGTTTTGGACCATGACCCTATACAGTCTAGCTGCTAGAGGAAAATGTAAACATTTCGTCTAAAGAACACATTTAAAAATAATTTTGTATTGTGTTTCTTTTAAAGCTCAATCCTGAAATCATCATCCAAGTGTAATTCCTGAGGATTTTGCTTTGGTTATGTGAACACAGGAGCAGGTCTCCTGAGACAGGAGACACTACTGCTGAAGGTCTGCTGTTGATACTGATGATTTGAAAGGATAATGCCTTTCTTCTGGGAAGAATTTTTAAATGAAAGAGATCTGAAGAAATGTTTCTCCAGGTAATAAGACACGTCAGTGTGTCCCTCACTGAGATGCACCACAATGACCTGGAATGCTGAAGTCCAAGAAGGGCAAAAGGACATAGAATCATAGACTTTTTGGAGTGGAAGGGACCTTTAAAGGTCATCTAGTCCAACCCCCCTGCAATGAGCAGGGACATCTTCAACTAGACCAGATTGCTCAGAGCCCCATCCAACCTGACCTTGAATGTTTCTAGGGATGGGGCATCTACCAGCTCTCTGAGCAACCTGTGCCAGTGTTTCATCATCCTCGTTGTGAAAAATTTATTCCTTTTATCTACTCTAAAGTCACAGTGCAGAGAAAAAAAAAAAAAACAGGAGTATTTGTATTAATCAAGAAAGTGAAGTAAGCCACCTTCACTTCAGCAAAATTTACAACAGCTTTTTCTAGTTAGTGTTTGGGTAAGAAGACGGACATGCTCCACCAGACACGTTTGACTTTCTTTAACTTTTATATATTTAGTGTCTTTGGAAAGACAATGAACAGTATTGCTGAAGGAATTATATTTTATATATGTGCATAAAGGATACATACTACACCACGCTTAAACCTACATTAAGTTGCTAAATAGAGTGCACTTCTCAAATTGAGAACGCAAATTACTTTCAGCTACTGTGGATAACCTGTCGAACATGATATGATGAAATTGCTCCAAAAAAGGTATGCAAATTAATCTGAACTTTTGTACCATTTCCATTAAAACACAAGTACTTGGACTACAAAGAGCAAATTCTTGAATGAAGCTGGATACAGCTATCAGCACCATTCAGCATAAAGTACTAAAATACAAAGGAAAAGTAGTGTCATGTTTTGCCTACGCAGCTGGGTAAGGTAATCAGTTTACATGTAAAAAGCTTAAGTAAGAAGGATTCAAGTGGAGGTAGTACCACCTGTAAATGTCAACTTAAGCCTCAAAAATGGATAATATGAGAAAATTTAGTTCTTTATTTCAAGTTCTCTTTTAGAGAGTATCTTATTCAGACGATTCCTATAAAAAACAGTCTTGTTATCACTACAGTGATGCATTTAGTGACACATGGATAGTGGAATATTACATAGATGCTTGGTAAATAGCAGTGACCAACTAATGGCCATCATTCAATAGGACATGTGTACTGAGGCAGCTGTAGAACCCACTGGGGCCCTGTAACAAGTATTGTCAAGACAAGTATGCCAAGGCAAGTAATACCACCATAAAATTAGTTTTATAGGGTAGAGGGCAGAGCTATGCTTTAAAACTCACTTTTCCAGCTGCCTCTTGTTACCCGTTAGCCTCCCACAGCAAAGCAGATTACTTTGACTAGAGCTGGACAAAAGCATGGAGTGCTGCCAACGATATGACAATCAGCAGTTAGCCTAAAAAATTTGATTCTTAGATGAGAAACCCATTACAGAACCTGCTATTAGACAACTCAAAGAAGACAAGGTATTGTACCATCAGATCTAAATTAAGTTTCTTCCAAAAATTAAAACTCTCAGTGAAATATCTGGTTGATAACATAACCGACTACATAAATCTGTGTAAAAAAAAAAAAAAAAAAATTTCAATACCCACCATACATTAAACCTTCTTAAAAAAACCAAAAACAACTCAACAGAGAAGGACCTTTTCAGAATAAAGAAGCCATGTCCTGAAAGACAATACAGCCTGGCTGCACTCTTCTGAATCTCTGTCCTCCAGATATATTTGACCTAATAGGCTTCTCTGTTCTTCAGCAGATAACCTCAGGAACATCAAAAACCTAACATGAAGAGTACATGGTGGTGGTTGCAGCCTACATACAAAAGTTATTTCCGCTTGACTAACTTAGAAATTTGGCAGATCATTTGAAAACAAAGCAAATACTGCTAGCTTAACATCATGTTTAAAAAAAAAAAAAAGTTTTTTCTTGTTTCATTTTTAAGAGTTATGTACAATTTCTTTGAATAGTATCTTTTTGTGCTCCATTTTTAAGGAGGAGGATGTCTTCTTTGGAGGAGAAAGTCTTATCAATGCCATGATTTGCAGTGGTTCAAACAGAAATTTGGAAGACAAATGTCTTGTCAATGTACAAGACAAATTTGTCAGTGTACATACAGGGGTTACATATGCTTTTCAAGTAGAGTAATCACATGTGATTTATAATAAAAAGATGTTTTTAATGGAGTATTTTTTTTTATAATGAATGGAATAAAAATGCTTTGAACTATTATTGAGTAAATGTTGAATTAAGCTACTTATGGACTACAAAAACAAAACAGTCAACTAGGATCTGTGTTTCCTGCACATAGTAAGGTTAGTATAGATAGTCTAGCCAGGTAAGTACATGAAACAGTGACATGAAGTTGAAAAATACATGCTTTTCTCTTTCCACCAAACTAAAAATTCAATAAAATAAGAATAGTGGGAATTTCATTATTAGGAAAACAGGAAGCTATCTAAAAAATTAAGATGGTGATGACCCCAGGAAATAAATTCCATACCTGTAAAGTCTGGCGCACAACATTTGCTGTATACATCAGCATGCAGTGCAGGATGTCAAGCAAGGACAGGAGCAGTGCATTTGCTGTCTTGGTGCTGCTTTTATCATCTGCCTCCAAGTACAGAGCCACAGTTTCTATTAGGAGATTACAGATGTGATGAGCCAGTCCTACACAGAAAGTGAGACAGAAAAAAAGAAATAGTCTATCAGGAAAAGAACAATGTGGAAGGTAGCCCAGTTAAAAATAATAGATTAGCATGAAAACAAATTTCACATGCATTATGAATATTTATGAAATTTCCTCCTTTTCTCCATTATTATAATTACCTCCTCTTCTATTCTGTTTGGAGCAGCTCATAAAGAGAGCTAAACTGATACAATCAAATTTGCTAACTGCATGGAAAATTATGTAACATTCATTAAATAAAGACATACTTTGAATCCTAAACTTTGCTGTAGCATGCAGGTATACAAGTCTCCTTCACAACACTCCTGGTCACAAGAATCAAGCAATTTCGCCAGGCTGTTACAAAATGACACGTCAAGGTCAGAGCCTGAAGGTTTTTTTCTTTAACTGGTCTGCCAGTTACAACCGTCCCCCTATGCTTTAATTGTAGAATTGAACAGTGTAATGTAACTGTAATGTATTTTAACATAAAAATATACTCAGAAGAGCATTATAAATGGAATACTGAATACTACACCTAAAATGCTATTAAGATTTGTTTGAATGATGGTAGTAAAAAGCTTCCTGAAAATACCTTCTTGTCTTGAAGCTTTTTTTTCAGCTCCTTTGTAATTTAATAACATCAGTTCCTGTAGCTTGCTTAGCCCACAAATCAATTCATCTATCTGAAAAAATACAATCCATTTCAAGGCAACACCAATTCAACCCAGAATCTTTCTTACTTTCAAATACAAAGTGACCGCGTTCATTATATTTCATCTTAATCTGTTTTTTTCAGAATTTCATAAGGAATGAAAGATAGTTTGTTCCTCACCAAGAACATAATTATGTTTGTAAACTATCTTCTTTTAAACTGGTAATTAGCTATGCTGTGATCTGGGTGCACATATATAGTGACATTGTAGTATATTAGTATATTAACTTGTAGTCCCCATGGCTGTCAAAAATGACTTAGGTATTTAACTGGTTTCACTGAAGTAAAAATAGCCTCCTTTTATAAGTTCTCCTTTAAAAAGTAATTGTACATATTTGTACAAACATCAGTAAAAGATTCAAATGAGACATTGCAGAATACAATATGTAATTATACCATTCAGCCTTTGAGAGTAGGCAAATCTGTGGAGTGTTGAACTATTTTGTTTTTAAAAGCTGCCCCATCAATTAACTAAACTTCCATGAAATATTTTCCTCCCCTATTCATCACCCTTAATACTTTCCTGAGGAAATTAAATACAAAAACATTCATTTAGAATATAGTCACGGGTCAGGATCATCAAGACTTGCACTCCTCTTATATCTCACATCTTTTGTGTTTCTATGATTACTAGCATTATTCTTTCACGACAGCTTGATTGATGGACCACAGCTCAGGCTAAGCTTTGAATTTCCTGGGATTTTGTCTGCATAAACCAAACTCAAAATTATAACTGTCTAATCTTGCGCATTTAATTTCTTCATCCTTTTTTAAAGTACAATTTCTGCTGCAGGTCTGAACACAAAAATGAGATAGCACACAGAGACACATTTAAGTGATGTCACCAATACCCACCAAGAAGGAAAAAAACAAACATAATTGTATGTCTGCCCAATACAAAACTTGTAGTTATTCTGTGCCTTTTTTCACCAGGCTGGATTAGAATAAATTTAACAAAACAGTCCAGCAAGAGTTGGTCCCTATCAAAGCAAGGTCTGCAAAACTGCCTGCAGGTATATGTCCAAGTACACTCCGTTTCTCCCTGTATATGATCATAAAACCCACAGCCACATCAAAATGAATGAGTCACCCTACTATTTCTAGATGGCTTACATATAATCCTTAAAACAGTGACTTGGAGATTAACACTGAGAAGGCCACTTTCAAATGAAGGCATTGTATGGGTCACCACCAAGAATTTTTTAGGCAGTAGTCTCTCTGCATTTGTAGCACAAAGTAGGGAGTGGCTAGTAGTGAATGAAACAACAGGATCCATGACTGGTCTGCAGTCCTTTCCCTTTCAACTCTGAAGAGAACAACTTGTTTATTCCCTTGACTTTACCGCCTGAATCTCACAACTGCCTCATTCCTGTCGTTCAGTGAACGAACACTCAACCTTCTCCCCATCCATCAAGACATGAATAATACAGTAACCTAGATTTTATTCTCTTGAAGTATTTACATCCTAAGGGTATGCATATTAGCAATCCTGCCTCTGAACACCTGAAATACATCAAACTACTCACATATACTTAGTTAACAAAAACATCAAATTATATGGATTTTATATAGGTAGATACATGCTCACACAGAGTTATATGATCAAAGATATGCATGTTAAATTTGGAAATTTGGGAAAAAAAAACCCAAAAAACTTTTCCTGGACTTCAAGTACCTTTTTAAAATTTATCACATCAAAACTTTATTATAAAGACATCTAGAATAAAATACTGGTGCAAAATGTTCCCTAACATGCTGCATGATTCATACAGAAACATGATAAGCACTTGGTTCCACGGATAAAAAAAAGACTGACCTCTTGCCAAGTAAATAAAGTCCCAGACATGCTCTAAAATACTTTATTGTGTCACAACAAAATGAAAAATGGAGGCCACAATTGTAGACATGTAAACATACTCCTTGCTTACACCACAAGACAAAATACACATTCTTTGCCATCAGAAGAGAAAGTTGGGAAGCTGGTATAATTTACAGTGACCGTGACAAAATTAAATAGAAATCTAACAGCCTTGGCCACTGGCACTGTAACCAATTTACTCAACACGTAGCTATAAAGTTCAAGTCCGATATATCTTAGCATTCCAAAAATTAAATCTCACAACAGATAGTCTGAAATAAGAGGATGCAGTTCTAAACAAGAAACTGTATTCATAATTGAGTAAATAATATAAAAATTGCATTTGGATGTCTAAGTTTCAGAAGATACATTGAAGATTTTCTGCCAGATTTTACGAGTGTAAATTCAAGAACCACATGCTTCTTCATTTCCAATGATGCCTAAAACAATATTCATCTTTAAAAACTTCAGACAATATATTTCTGAGACACATTTAGCAGACATAAGTTTCTTTTGCAGTAATTCTCAACTGTTCATTAGAAAGTAAAATAGGCTCAGATTCAAAAGGCACACCCCCTGCACTCCCAAATTTTGGAAGTGGTGGATCTGAATCCGAATTCTGTATCATAGTGGAAAGCTAATCCCTATGTAATGGAGGAAGATTGTTCTACTGAGAACAGCTACATAATTTTAAGTATTCTGGTACTTTCAAGTATGTTGGTAACAGTCCACTTTGTCAAGAGGAAAGTGTTATTGACAGTTTACATGGGTTAAAGTAATGCATCATAATTTCTTTCTTATTAAGAATGTTAAGTAAAAATTTATTAACTTATAGATTTTTTTTTTGTTACTCTACTAATTTTCAAATTTCAGCAAACAATTAAAATATATGACACTATATCATTTATAGATATAGTTACAGTTCAAATTTATTACAATATTTCATAGTGGACTAGTCATACCTTATATTTATTTGTAAAAGGAGAATCTTCAAAATATCAAGCCTCAGTGCAGTTTTCTGCTGTTCAAACTTTGCAGAAAAATAAGGCAAAACTTGGATTTTGTATTAGAATTAATATAACTGGAATTAAACAAAGAACCTGTTTTAATTCCAGTCCAAGATTCATAACAGGTATTAAAAGGATCGCATCCAAAATTCCTAGCCACAGCTTTATTGCATTTGACAAACATAGTGTTCACAGCAGAGTATCTTTCCTGCCCAGAGACCCCTGCAATGAACTGAACACATTGCTAATAGTGCTTTATGAATGTGGACTGTGACGACTATGCTCATGTTTTACAAATCTTTTCAAAAGATAAAAGGCGTCTTTTGGCCCACGATACAGCTAATCGGACAGAATGTGCCATGATACCTTCTGGAATGAAAGCTCAGAGGAGATATTTTATTCTCACCTATTAGTAAGACGGACAAAGGAAAAGAAATCTTCGCTTCCCAATCATATGAAACATCAAAGGAGAGCCTAGGAAGCAATCTTCTAGGCAATCCTTTCATGCCTACCAGCAATTAGAGCATTCGACAAACCTGTCTGCTTCCAGCTGAAGAAAATGTTAGAGCAGGTGCACTTCCTCCGAACAATGCCACCACGCAGCCAAACACCCAGCCCGGGAAAAAGCTCTCTCTTTGTTCCTTTCTGTTTTTCCCATTTGTATCACACCTACACAACTGACTCCCCAGGGATATTACCAAACATATATATTCACTAGACATTCCTTCCTTCTTTTACTTACAGAGTGGACCTGCTTGGGTTTTTGCTCCCCCCTTTTTTAAAAGACTCAATAACGTATTTGTAACTAGAAATGACATCACCAGACTAACTAGAACACATATTTCATAATCTTTTTAATCTTGATGATAAAACTCAAAACTATTGCTAAGAAGAAACACAAGACTGTAGTCTGATAGATTCTTTTGCACAGAAATTAGTTCCTCAATACCTAAGCACTTAAGATAATCCATCATGTCATAAAGATTCTTCATAAAACCTTATTCACCTACACAAACCTGGGATTTAATTTGCATTCTTTGCATCACAGCCTTACTACTCAAGGTTTCCTCTTTTGAATAACTGAAAATAGGCAACATAAAGCAAATGGTATCTTTAGGGTAATGGCATTTTTAAGAGAGGTTTGTTGTTTTTATTGTTATTTTTGTTTATTATTTGTTACTGTTTATGTTTTAGGAAGCATTTGTGTTAGTACTATAATATTATTGAGGGAAGAATAAACTAGGATAGAAAATTAGGTCACCACTGATATCAAGATTTGGTGAGTTATGAATGTCAGATCAAGTGGAAAGAAAATTATAGGGTTGTTGAATATATGAATTGCTGCCCTGAAAATTATTTTCTATTCTGATCTGAAAGATGAACAGCATCTAAAGAAGAAAATTGTGCACATATTGGATAGTC